AACCTAACCTCCCATATGTCGGTCGTAACATAGTCTAATTTTAGAACTTCCCGCTCAACTAGTCTAACCTGACAGGCGTGGTGAGACAAAGTCACGCTTTTTTAATCACGCCTTACAGTCCTGAAGGATTTACAAATCACGCTTTTTCGCAATTTTTGTCTGAATTAAATTAGCATAAAATAACAAACCCATGAACTTTATGTAAATAATTATTTTACAATCATACTAAAATTATGCAAAAATGCATAAGTGGGTATAATATGAAGCAACATATAAATGTTGAATATGGGAATCTGATAAATCATTTTACACATGCGTGTTAACCTAAACTATTTTACTGAATGTAAACAATGACGACGTTAATTCAAATCTTTAGATTAGCTATTAAAATTCATACATGCACGCATCATGGCATTGACACAACCCTTCTCCCTTTGTTCACCCCGTTTCTCTCTCTTCCTTTCTCTCTGATCAAGCGAGTACAGCAAGTACGCAATTATTCAAACATCTGAGCTGTAAAAAAATATTCGTTTAAATTATTTACTGTATTAATTTTTCCAGTACTCACTAATTGTTGATAAAATAATTTAGTTCATAATCTCACACCACTCCATCTAATCATGCAAGTTAATCCAAAACGTGATACTCTCGCCATCCTGAATAATAAAGACGACCTGGTAAGCAGAATATTATTATAATTCTTGTAACTATTAATCAATTTTTCTAACGTGATGTAATTAAATATATTTACACATACAGTCTTATTTTTTACAGAGTAAATTCCGAGCCACTACTATGGCCAAAATGTTGGAGAGTTTCGACAAGGACCCAGTTGCCCGTCAAAATATAGATAAAAACTTTCTCCTCATAATCGTCTCATCAATAGATCAGCATAATAAATCGTTCCAGTTGATCGACTCTTGTCCTGTAAAGTTGACCGACACCGGACTTACCATTACAACCAAAATTAAAGGGGGACAATATGTACAATCTTTGATTTACGAAGGTGGAGCACGAAAGGTTAGGTTAGGTTAGTTAGCAAACCTAAAACCTGCAAATTGTGGCACCGCTCCGATCTAATTCAATCACGAATATGATGAATTTAACAATGGTAGCAAAAGGTTCGTTTGTGTGGAGAAAGAGAATTTACGATTTATAGGTAAACCACCTTTACTTTTGTATTTTTTTTTATTTTTATTATTATTCAGTATTAATATTAATAATAATAATATAACCTAATTTTTCTGGACTTTTTTTTACAGATCCTAAACGAAATGTCATCTTTGTATGTAAAATATGATTCATCTGTATTCTTTGATGAAAGCAGTGACTGTCTCTACTGGAGCAACTCACGCCGTCATGTTGATGAGTTTGGAGCGTTCTAATAATATATGTAAAAATGTATTTTTTAACCCCCCTTGTCCGTTTCACCAGCACAAAACTGTGGGATTTATTTTTCTAAAATTGGTTTCAAACCTTTAGCCATATAATAGTCTACGTTTATTTTAACTTTGTGTGGCACTCTAATAAGACGTAAGACGTCACGCCCACTTTTAGATGCCACCACCATAAATTCTTACAAAACTTCTCTTTTTTTCTTGCACAAATTCGGGGTCCGATTTTCCTGGTTTGTGATAATATATTTTTCTTTTTCCTTTGAAATCTTGGACATAAAAAAGGGCCTCGTCAAGTGTCACAACAAACTCCGATTTTCCTCCTGTTGAAGGTCCTCATACAGCCTCCAGAAGTTGGATTTCCGGTTTTGCTTGTGAGCCTCGTTTAGTCGTTAAACTTTGTCCTTTATCGTCAACTTTTTTGAAGTTTGTTTTTAATGGGTAATCCCACATGTGAGCTAGATATTTTACAAACCTTTGCAATTTGGTTTTGGGTCAGAGGGTTTTCTTTGCTTGTCAGGGCGTCGATTTTTCGAAAAACGGTACGCGACGCCTTTTTTGTTGGCTGAAACTTGGCAGGCGCTGGCAGTCATGCTAATTTATATTTTCTCCTTATTCCTACGGAATTAAGTTCTCTAAATACTGTTCTTTGAGAAACAATATATCCGGATGACTAAAACATATCGACAATTTTTCTCTGGGACAATTCTCCTTTGGAAAAGTGTTTTAAGAGAGGTTAGACTTCAAGGGTCAATATCTTTGGCATTTTTCGACCAATGTTCCCAATCTAAAAGTTTTGTGGTACTGTGGGAAGTATGTTTATAAAGAAAAATACATAAATTACAAAATATTTCTCAAGCGCTAAATTAGGCCAGTTTTTAGTCTGAGCAAATAAGGATAGACATCCCTGTAATTATTATTCAGGTTATGATTGGGGAAGGGGGGGGGGTAATCGGAGAGAAAGGGGATGGGTTAACGTGAAACTGTACTACAGGTCTGACTCTAACCAAACTATTGTATGAAATGGAAGTGATAAAGTGGTCAGGTACAGGGGAAAATACGCTGTACAAGCAAGGCCTTGTAAAATTCGAATGTCATTCAATTTTGTTATCAAGTCATTTCATCCTACAAAAAAACAAATACCTAGGAAGGATCCTATCTAAACAAGTGCCCCTACCCAACCTATTATTTTTTTACCACATAATTAACTCATTCAGTAAATGTCATAACATTTGTTTATAATTGTAACACTCACGTATCTAACAAAAATGGTGTACAAAGGCAAATAAATTAGTCTTGAAATGTAAAACACGATTAATTAAAACGATGAGATCGGGTTTTTGTAAATTTTATAAAGAAAGCACAAGGTGCAGAAGCTCAGATTCACTCATTATTCTTTCAAAGTAAACTCAAGACTCTAAAAAGTAGGACTACATTATTTAGCTCTCTAGTAAAATCAGTCCTCCTTTACTGCTCTCCAATTTGGGGACTAGAACTTACGGAAAAACTTGAAATCTTCCCAAATAAGTTCCTCAGAAATATATTTCAGCTGCCACAGAAAACGCCGGCATGGTTTCTAAGACTAGAAAGTAACACTGACTGTGTAGAGATGACTGTGATGAAACACACATTGAAATTTTTTAGAAAGATTATTCAATTTCCCAGAAATACTTTGCTGCGTGAATGTTTCGAGTCGCTAAAAATTAACTCAAATAAACCCAAATCTGGAGTGAAAGCAAACTGGTATAAAGTTATAGAACAAAAATTGGAAAAATGGAACTCCAAGTATGTATTAGATAACATCCCAGAATTATATGACTTAGATAGTTGCTGTCAAAAAATGCTACAAATCAATGAATGTATTCGTAAAATCTATAACGTGTCGATGGAGAATGATATTTTTAAAATGCAAAATAGTACATCTATACCGAATTATAAATTATTGTATACACACGTAAAATCTCAAGAATTTCTAAATGTTAACCAAGGATGGCCGATCACAAGAACAATAGTACAATGTAGAGCAAATATGTCCTCAATTCACTTGTAAAACAATTATTAAATTAGCAGCATTACGTAACTTCTATGATGACTCTGTTGATCCAATGTGTAAAAATTGTACGACTGGTGAAATAGAAAATATTGATCATATCCTCTTCCAATGTTCCAAATATAATGAATTAAGACTTAAGTTTTTGCACAATAATACTGAATTTATAACATTATTATCACAACCGAATGAAACAACTATGAAAAATATTTATCTCTTCCTTAAAAATGTTGCAGAATCCCAGAATTGTCAGATTTAGTAATTATATTTAATGTTTAGAACTAGTGTTTAAGTAGTTAAGTTAAACTAGGTTATTTAAATCTAGACGTAACTTAATTTAACTTGAAATTCCAAGAATCAAGACCAAGACCCGATAAAGTTAAATTCCTTATAATATATGTTATTGCGATTGTAAAGGCCGCCGCCAAATCAATCATGAATAAATATCTATCTATCTATCTTTATTGTCTGGTACAGGATGACGCACGGATGTGTCACTTGCTTGCACTCGTTTTTGCACATTTGGCCAACTTCTGGACTAATGTTTTCTCCAACAGGACTATTTCGCCACAAGTAGACCTTTACGAAGTATCCGTATACCAAAACTGGTATTTCGTCTTGATGATTCCCATGATCTACAGCGGCGTCGCGTTTTTCGTATTTTTCTACTGCCTCGGCCTCCAAATTAATCAGATGAATGCTAATAGACCCACATGCCAATGCTACCGTCCTCATACCCAAGTTATATTTGGGGATGAGAAGTTTTCGGATTTCTTGACAAATTCGAACCTAAATCGGACTCATATTGCGATTTTTGCCCTAATACCATGCCACGGGATTTTCCCGGGTAAGGCAAGGGTAGTTCCAGATGAAAGTTGGATGAAGTCAAGCTTGAAATGGTGAGTAACCAGGGATCAAATTTGGTGTTATCTGGTGGTGACAAGTCTACACTGATGGATAACGACCAGACCAGTTTGACATCTCTTCCGTCGTATGTATCACGAAGTTATGAAGGGACAGGATTGGATGGTGGGATTAAAGTTGGGATTGAATTTACCAATTAGAACTTGGGATAGGTCCTAAATATTTAATAAGGTGTAAGAAGTATGCATTAACTCAATTAGAGGATCATAAGTTAATTAAATTTGTTTTAATTACCTGTTTGCAAATTAATGTATTTACGTCTTTTGGTATATACTAAAATACGTGTAAAGATTTAATCTATACAATGGGAATAAAAAGTAATTAAATTCTATCGGATTGTGTGACCGAACTTCTCTGGTAGAAAAATTTATTGCAATCAGGGCAGGCTTTATTTAACACATGAAGGGTCCAAGACGCGCTTAATGCGAAGTCGACACTTTTTCCTCAAGTAGTAAAAGCGACTTTTTAGAGACCTACAGCACTCTGATAAGGTGTTTTCAAGAAAAAATGCAATAAAATTATGTATGTAATACGTTTGCAGAGTCAACAGGCATTACATCGTAGACATAGGCACAGTGTACTCCAAAAATGTGGAAATCACTTTCTATCGAGGTGCTACAAAATTTGACAGAATCTCGCCCTGACCGAATCAATCCAATGCTAAACGTAAACGGTAGGTCCAGTGGATATTAGAGAAGGTATAAAAAAATTTCATCCACTTACGTCAAGTATTCATTGAGATATCGTATTTTGAAATTTGTATGCATTAGTTTGGTACATTGAAGGAGGCCACCCTTTATGTTCCTGTTAAATTTGAAGAGCTCGTGTGGGAAAGCCTTTCAAGCTGGAAGTTTCGAGCAAAAAGCAAAATGATCATCTTAAAGGTATAGGGTTTTTCAAATTTCTAATAATTATAAGGAATGTGAACATTAAGTACATCATTATAAATACAAAAATTTTTCTATAAAATTAAGATTATGAAAAGATGTAATAAATTCAAACGCCCAGTAAAGTAGAGAGGTAAACAGTTAACACATCTTTATTCCACAATAATTATTAATATAATTAAAAGAATCTATTTCATAACAAAATTGATCCCCGTCTGCCGATAAGTTCTACTTCCTGCGATATATACCTGTTGGGTCCAAAAATCTGCCCATCCCACCAGAATTCCAGTTGGGGTCACAGCAGCAAGGGTGAGAAACTGGGGTGCAGGCACAGCAATCGCACCATTTGCTGCACCTGTGTCGCAGGAACGGGTTGTGTCTGGTTACGCGAACCATGCCATTGTCACTTGATCCACCTGTCAGAGTAAAAATTACAAATATATCTTTTAAGTTTAGATCAGTACACTCTAAACAGTTAATCAAAAAATGGGATCATGTAGACCATATGCGAGTCTACTGTCATTGTAATAAATTTATTTGACTTGGTAACAATTACTTTTATACGGGTTTCTGCTACTCGCCCATTTTAACTTGTTATCTTTGTACATGCCTGGCAATAAACTTACTACCAAGCCCGTCAAACATTTTTAGCTGTGTGATAGACCGGCCAACGATCCCAGCATTATGCTAATTATGTGTTAACAAATTATTGAGGGTGTTGATAAGCTTTGTGTTTGTGTACGTACTGCCAATACTGACAATCGTAATCAAAAAAATAAATGTAAAAATTATTGAGTACCGTTTGATGTGCAATTAATTTAAAATATTGTTTCAATTGTTCAATTCGTATTGGATTTGTTTATGAAAGAAAGAAAGAAAGTTTAAAAAAACAATGAATACACTGCTTTAAGCATGACGTTACTTGGTTCAAATTTTTTTTAAATTTACATTTGTGATAAATACATATGTACAAGATTACGCAATTAATTAAGCAATTCGTTGAATACATATAGTAAGTCAGTTAATAATATAAGTGAATAATATTAAATGAATCTGTATATTTATATGTACTCATGTTCATCGAATTGGGTAATGGTTGTTTATGGGCGATATTGAAAATTATTGTTTTAATGACTTTGTTTTATTTTATTGTTTTTGATTTACCAATGCTAAATAGTTAGTGGAACATTATTTGTGTAATGTTAAATGTTTGAACAAGCTGAACATTAAGGTCAACACTTGACTGGAATTGTTATACTTTATTAATACGTATTATGTACATGTTCGTACAAACAAATAATATATGAGATTGATATGCAAAGATCAAATCCGTAACATACATGAACTAAATTGATTTTTAGTAGTAGCATTAAAATTTGTGTTTTATATCAAATATAGTTTTCATCAGAAATGCAACTTGCAGCCCGTCTTCTTTACTTGCAATACATTTATGTTTAAAAATAATAATACTGTAATTGAAATGTTATCGCGAAATATTAAGCCATATTTCCCAAATTATTTTTTTTCAAAATGCATATAAACATGGCCTGTTAGGCATTGAATTTAACGTGGAAAGGAATGACAAGCATGATGAAAAATTATTTATACAGATTAATGATTGACGGTTAAATTCAGAAGAAAAAATTATAGATGCCACACGCTAAAGAATTACTGTAATTTATTGAATATAAATTAGGAAGTTGGACACATTAAGAAGTACAATTGGTTATTGGTTGATTGTTTTTCTCTATTGACAGATTATACAAGTACATTTTTATTACTGGCACCCACTGAATTTCAACGTAAAGAGATGAACTTAATACAATTGTATTGTATTTACATACACAAGAAATATTTCATTATAGATATGTATTGTATACTTAAAACTTCACACAACTTGATTTCCAAGTTTAGAATTGAATTAATTAGTCTCCTTAACATTGCTTTGCGCGTTATGCCTCCAAATTCAGTAGAATGAGATTTTTAAAATTTTTAAAATTTTTAAAATTTTATGAATTTCAGAATTTTTGCCCTTAACTCATACGTGATAAGGAATGATATACATTGACAAATGAAAGAGTTTCTTATACACAACGATGAGTGACTGTTAAATTAATAAGAATAAATTACATAAAACACACGCCCAGGAATTAATGTAATTTCTTAAATTTAAAGTAGGAGATTCGATACATGGTGTTGTAAAATTGGAAAAGAGGTATTAAGCTTCATATGTATGGAATAAAAATCAGTAAAATTAGTGTACAGGTTAGCACTCGTAACTATTCCGTTAATACAATGTGCACAAATCGTTTTCACATTCCATTTATCATTACGACATTAAGTATCATAGAAAATATACAAAGTAAATCTACCGTATAAACAGTACCATAGTTATCAAATAATTTATTTATGAATCATTCATATGGCCAAAAAGCATTGGAATACCGAAAAAGTTATTTATTTGAACTCGCATCTCATATTTATATAAATAAATACATACATACATACGCTGTGAAACATAAATTACTTTAGAATAACAGGATGCGAATTCTGGAATAAAGACAAAAGCCAACTCATCACTGTAAGGAAGATGGTGATGATTTGTTCACTGATTCAATTCAGTAGAAGAAATGGAATTTGATTCATAAGTGAAAAATGTATAAGACAAAGAAAGAAAATGAGTGCGTACACATTCGAATGATCTAATTATTTCATTTAAGTATTTAGCCTTATTCTACATACAAACTAAATTCCACAAGAACAGGTTACTATGTATAACACGTAGATTGGTTGCTTAGGTATAGGGAAAAATTTATTAGTGATTTGAGTAATAATTTTTTTAGGCAAAACAGTTGTGATTCTGCGGGTCTAAGCATATAAAAACTTGTACACAATTAAGACTAAAGTCCATGGTTTAGTTCGTTGGACATTGCTAAGTATATACTTATGATTCTCGAAACGTTTTGGTAGTACATTATGTGAAAAATGTAGGGTTGTTGTTGGGTCACACCAATGTTGGGTCACACCCCTTAAAAATTAATGTAAGAAAACAGATATAAAAAGCCTTTAATTTACATTGACCATAGTCACCATGATCTTCACAATGACAAAGTTCGATTTTTTAATAAATTATGCCATTATCATCTCTCACCGTACATGATGTTAACATTTGCTTTGGGGTGAGCGAAGGCGATGATCTTCCCTGACATCGGTGATAGCAATGTATGGGAACTGAACTCAACTATAGGGGTGGCTAGTTACGCCCACAATATTGGGAAGAAGAAATAATTACTCATTTAATCCTGATTTTTGGTGGGCATCAATTAGTATATCAACGATTGTATCATTGAATTAATGAACAGCAACTTCCGGAAACTCTTTGATGAATAGTCTCTCAATTCACATCTAATAATAAATACTGTCCTCGTACACAACTCCATAATAAACCATCTTATTTTTATCATCATAACAATTAAACATGGAACGAATGATATAGACAAGATTAAATGTTTCTGGTACACATCGATGAATGACTGTTGTATTACGATGAAAAAACTATAGTAAGCACACGCCAAAGAATTGATTTAATTTTTTAAGTATAAATTAGGTAGTTTAACACATTACATAAGCTGCACAATTAGTACTTGATAGATTTTTTTTATTCTGTTGTAATATTTAACAATTTAAGTATTAATCTACTCTTGCTTTACTGAATATGAATCTATTTAAATGTTCACGTAATACAATTGTGTTACATAGTTTTATAATTTGTTACGTCATTAGTTACATACATAACGTAAAAGATTTGATATTTGAAAGTTGATTCTGACATAAATTTTCCTAATAAAGAATTTTCAATAATGACCATCACATAAGGCACAATCACGGGGTAAAACTATCCCAGATCTTGTGACAAGTTTGACAAAATACTCAAGTATTTTGAAAGCAATTAATAAGCATCCTACTTGGATGCTGTTTTTGATATTATTATTTTTGATCTCTGTGCTTCTATTTTAGGTCACCGGTTTTCCCTTTATCAGAATGTAAAATACTGTCAATTTAATAAAGTTATGTATATGATACGGGTAAATCTGAGGATGAGTCATAGTCAGGAAATGGCCTATTGATTTGACACTGACCACCAAATGATGAGTCCAACATCCATTAATAGGTTATCATAATTTTACTTGAAAATCTTCAAAAACTTAAAAACAAACCCCATTTGTCTCGTTAAGTACGCGTTGAACCTAGGCGAACTAAGGAACAGTTAGTTAAGAGGCAAAACGTTTTTAAGGTGATCTTGGACCAGCAGCAGGGAGTTGAGGTGGTATATAAACTTTATTAACGACCGGTGGAGCTGCCCAATAGTTTCTTTTGCGTTTAATTTTTCCACAGGTGATCCCATTATCACGCAAGAAATTACGACATTTTACAAGAAACGACGCCGACTTAAAAAACATTTTAACAAGAAGATTATATTCACATTTATACCCCTCAACCAACACAGCTGCAAATGCCAAGCATATAAGTACCCCGCAGAGGATAAAAATTGTTCGAATTCTCCCGTTAATTTCAATCTTTGAAACTATTTCGGTTGTGTCGTTTGCCACCGGTTTTCTCCCTAGCCACATGCCTCTAAGAATTTCGTTTCTTACTCGATCATAAATTCCTGATACTACTAATGCCTGGAAATTTCTATGCACCACGGAGACACCACTCGACGTAGTACTCCCCGCAACTGGTTGAAATAACCAGCCATATTTAAATGGTCCAAAGAATGTGTTCCAAATATGAAACTTCTTGGATGGATAGTTCCGACGCAGGAAGTCCCTCTCAGCCAAAGCAATCTCAGTGGCTGCGATGAAAGCACTTTTCTCGTTGCAATTGATCATATCCTTCTCAACTAAACCTTGCAATTCGGATGCAGAATAGTTTTGCTTTTCATGACTGTATCCGCTTGGAATGTAGCTGTGTGCGGGGTTTGTAAGAAGCAATTCAAGGAGGTTTTCTTTCGTTAGATTTTCAAATGTCGGGTTATTCGTGATATCAAATTCCAGAAACTCGTTGAAGATCTCGGCCCTCGCACAATACAAATTATATGATCCAATTTTAGTATCTGGATCTTCAACAGAATCTGAGAAAAAGCGGTAACATTCATTCGAAGCATATTCATTTTTGAACGATGGAGTAAAACACCCCGACCTCTGGCATGCATCGTATTTACCCCAGTATTTTTTGTATTTCTCGAACCCCACTTTTTTCAAATAGTTAGAAACAGTATTTTCGACATAGTTGTCCAGCATGTGTCTATTTTCACATAGAAGATCATAAATGACTTCTGGTTGATCTGCTTGAAGTGGTGCGTTA